CTAACCTCCAGCCATTTCTTTTATTCAGCCAATCTGACTCCCTGTGCACTTCATGTTGACAATACGGAACAGGAATTTCCTGGGAGGAATTATGTGCCTCTAAATTAAAATTATGACCAGCTGAGAGATAAGCAGACTACATGGTATTACCTAAACCAGCAAAGCATTTCCCCACTAATGCCATGTATCTAAGAGTTACTGCTTTTAATAAACTAAAAGCCATTAGTCTAACTATCACAAGTGTAATAAAGTGCACATACCAGCAGTAGCAACTAGTAAGAAGTGTGCAGAAAGCAACTCTCATTAGAACAAAAGTTAATTAAATCTACAGTGGAGGATCACAAAAATAACTCAGATATTATATCCCCATGACCTCAATAAGGATTTTACTATTTCCCGAAGTGTTTTGCCCCATCTAGCAGGCCACAAAAAAGTGTTCTTCCCATCTTGCTGTTAATGGAAGAAGGGGGAAAAAACCCCCAAAAAAAGTAGTTCATTCCACTTTTTGTTTCTCAGTTGCTAATAGAGTAGTCCCAGTCCAGTGACACTGGCACATACAGCCTCTGCCTCCTTCAAATGGGCCTTGGGAATCAGAACATGTTTTGAGGGCAAACTGCACGTTATGTATAACGATGACTTAGTAAATTGAATTAAATCATTTTATCCTGACACAGGAAAGCTTGACGAAGTAAGTTCAGTCAACTAAGATTCTACTCTCATTCTTTCAATGCTCCTACCACAGTTTCTCCTCAACATGAATGTGTCCATTCTCCCTTCCCTTTGGACAGAAGCATCTCCCTTCGCAGATGGCATGCTCTCTCTTTCTCTAAAAAAAACCCCAAAACAACCCCCCAAAAAAAACCCCAAACCAACCAACCAACCAAAAAACAATAACAAACAAACCCATGGCCTTCAAAGAAGTAATTTTCTCATTGTTCTGCCCTTCTATGCCAGACAACCAACATTTAGTAGAAATATCCCTGATATCACACATGCACTGTTAGTCTTTCAATATGTATGTAGAAGCGTAATTAGTTGTCTGCACATCAGGAACTCCTTTTACCCACAAACAGGACCAAACTTGCAGTACTAGTTAAACCCTTCCCTCTCCTCTGTCTCTAAACAAAATGTACTCTGACTGTACATTTCTGTACTGCAGTATATCCTACAGCAAAATCCCTCCAATGCCCACTTTTCCTGCTGGGTACAAAATACAAGAGATAATCCGGGGGAGACTGTCAGGCTTTGTTGAATGCCCAGAGGGAAGAAGTGCCAACTCCGTTCTGCCACGGGCTCGGTTACACAATAGACTTGCCTTACAGGCTGGAACTAATGTTTTTGCAAATTCATAAAGAAAAGAATCTTAAGGTAAAATATGTCCTTCAGGGCACAAAAAGGCCTGCATGTAGCCTCCTACTCAGAACAGGTGAATTAACGATGCAAACCTCAGCTGTGCTAACACTTTCTGTCGTGTGGGTTTTCTTTCTTCCCTTTCTTCTCTCACTGCTACTGTAAGAGACCCCAGCCTGACCCCCTGTGCTTCTCTGGTTTGGAGTAAAGCATGGTAATAAGGCAAATCTAGAAAGCCAAATCACTTTTCCATCTATTTCACAGAACACCCTCCCCCTCAAAAAAGACACAAACAAACACCTCAACATTTCTATGAAGTCTGATAACAAAAATCCCCCCTCCTAGTTGTTGACATAATGTAAAATTAAGACATGCAAGTGAGATCAATAACTCATTTCCTTGTGTAATCTGGGGAACAGCAGCATAATCAGAGAGTATAATCAGTGCCAAATCATTTTAGGCAAGCAATATGTTTACAGAAGCACTGTTAAATAGCTTCTAAGCCTTTTTTTTAATGCTGACTTCTTTCTTCAAACATTTTTATGTGACTTGTCCCACACAGGAGGAGGTTCAGAGCGACAAAGCCTGTCTGGACCAAACTGTCCCACAAAGTTCAGAGTCATTAGGAGGCATTATCGACATGTTGGCAGTACCACAGATTAATTTCTACCTAGAGAAACTGAGGCACCCCCAAGCATGCCCCAAAGGCGTATTCTTCGAACAAGGACTGACACTTCCCCTGCCCCCATAGACTTAAAAAAATCCTATACTGGTGAATAATGCACGTCAACAGCATTTTGTAGATAAGAGAGAGAGTTTAACTATGAAAAGTTTGATCTGCTCACCTAAAATAGAAGGCTATTAGGTTAATTTTTTACTAATTAGTATACTGAAAAAATAATTTTAAAAATAATAATTTAAAGTATAATTTTATACTTTTTAATAGTAACCCATATGACATTGAAAATAATCCCAAATTGCAGCAGCAACAACATAAGAATGGGCAGAGAATTAGAATTTACCTTTATAGGCCAAAGACTGGCTCAGACAGAGAAACAAGTGGGATGAAACTACTATCGTCTACAAAATATTACCTGGAATGAACATATCCACCAGCATACAGGAATCTGCCCATCTCAACAGGGGGGTTAGCAATGTCTCTGCATGAACATTAGTGTACATGAGTGACAGAAAGAGAGGTTTAGGCACCGAAGCCCTCAATGCCATCACCACTCCCCACTAGAGGCATAATCCTTACTTTGAATCATGGAACACAAAAGAAAACCTTCTCATTCAATGCCATTCTACTCAAATCCTAGATGTGAATTTATCCACTATCAAATTTTGATATCATAACGTTGTAAATTTTCCTAGCAAATCTTTTCCTTAAGTCCAAATAGTCCCAAGAGATTTTCAATCTCATGAAGTATCCTCTGTTCTCGCCTTTTCAATATTGAAACACTGGAAGAACAAATTACATAACTCCGGCATTTCAAACAAACAGTGTCTGTGGACTTAAAGTTAATTGGAACCTACGCATCTTTGAGACTTAATTCTTGGACTACACTCCCTGTGACTGCTAGAAAACTCAATGTTACTGCCACTTCAACAAAACTAAAGTAGTGTTAGTACCGATGATCAAAGTCCACCTCATCAGCAGAAGTCTTGCTCAAAATAGAGAAAGCATTGGCTTCATAAGCCAACGCAGCACACCAACCCTGAGTGTTACTTTGACAACAAGAATCAAGAGTAAGTTCAGCCCTTAAGATAACACGCAAATGAATTTTTTAAATGTGAATAAATTTTTTTCCACAAATCCAGATCCCTTGCAGTGAGATTCTTAGCCACAACTTCCACCAAGTATTAAGAGAAGGTAATCAAGCAAATAAAATTAAAAAAATTTAAAAAATCAAGGTACGATGGTCACATGCTCACACCTACTTTTTGTTCAATTTCTTCTACATATGCAGGTGCTTGTAAAACCTTCATGTGTTCAAAGTTTGAGGCAACTCTTCCTCTTCTACAGGTTCCACCAACAAACTGAACCAGCTAACTCTTTAGAGCAGTCATGTGTTTTACCCTGCATTCTCAGTCCCTCCCTTGCTTTCCTCTGTTATAGACTAGAGACACAAAAACAGAAGAGTCTGTACTTCAGAAGGGCTAGGAGCAATTATTAGGAAATAAATCCTCACACAGCCCATCCTGTGCCCTACATATACTGGCCTTTCCTTGTTGCCAAAACCTTTCGTTTCTACCTGATGCCCATAATAAACAACAAAATTCACACCCCAAGGGAAGAACATTTCCGCCCTCTTCAGAGAAGCAATATTTCAAAGATATTCTGAAGGAGTCCATCTGTGATATGCTGGCTGAAGCCAGCTGTCTAAACCCATCACCAGTTGTGGAGGTGCACAAAGATCACTTCTGTTCTTTCCAATTCAGTATCACATGATATGGAAATGACAAACTGAAAAGAACTTATGTGGCAGCAAAACCCGCATGATGGGAAATTTCACTTACAATACCTGCAATCCTAACATCAAGATGACAGTGGTCCTGTGGCTTAACAGAGATGAAACAACACCTTGTTTATCCCACCATCATTTATGGTGATACCAAAACAGACAGATTATAGCTGTGGGTAAAGATGTACAACCCGCAGAGATTATGTCCACAAGGTATTTCCTTCAGTCAACTTTATATTATAACAGTACTCAAGGGTTTCTTATTAACAGCAAGCGCTCATAGAGTAAACAACAGGGGGCATGATAAATTTGATTATAGTTTTGCTTAGTTGCATCTTGATCTACAGAGGCATTATACTTAAGTTTGAAGTAATCACGAAGAAACCCCTAATGATCTGTAGTATAGCAAAACAAGTCCTCAGTGATATGACCTACAGTAAGCACCGTGGATCCAACCTCCTCCTACAAATAGCACACTCAAAGATTTGGTCTTTATCATCAGACCTTTTAGCAATCCGAGCAACCATATCATTTTGAAAGAAAACTGTTATTTCGTAACTCCTGCACTGCAACGAACTTCCTGACGTTATTAGTGAAGACATTCTAACCCTCTGCAGAAATTATGCATTTAAGATTCAACAGGCCATTTACAGTTTGGCTTCTGATGACTTTCAACATGGAAATCAGCTATGTACTTCCACTTTACTGGTAAATACTTTTTTCCCCCCCCTTTCCATTGTAAGTGGACTTAAAGCACAGGCAGGTTCACTGTTTAATGTATTGTTAGTAAATTAGTTCAGATGATGATCTTCTTGACATTCACCAAACAGGAATGATGTAACCATCTTCACAGAGTCACAGAGTGGTAGGGGTTGGAAGGGACCTCTAGAGATCATCCAGTCCAACCCCCTGCCAGAGCAGAATCCCCTAGAGTAGATCACACAGGAACCAGTCCAGGGGCTTGGAAAGTCTCCAGGGAAGGAGACTCCACCACCTCTCTGGGCAGGCTGTTCCAGGCTCTGTCACCCTCTCAGCCTTTCCTCATGCAGAAGGTGCACCAGGCCCTCCATCATCTTAGCGGCCCTGCGCTGGGTCACTTAGACTTCTCAGACTGCACCACAAACTTTTTGTAAGATATGAAACCAGTTCACTTTTCACAAGCACTGATATCAGTCCCCATTTCACCTGTTCTGCACCATGCTCATCGCCATCCAGTCCGAAGGGTAAACATTCTTTCCAATGAGATCTTTGAACATTATGAATGTTTCCATCAAGAAGTCCTAGAACAACAAAATACAATAAACCTGTGACCGTGTAACACAAAGCTTACATGTCCCTTCTGTGATTAAAGAACTATGATGAAGGGCTCCACTTTGCTCCCAGAAATTCCTGGTGATAGCAGTAAACCCAAGACTGGAACTGAAGTCCTGTGAAACAGCAGTCTCAGATTCCAAATGAAAGCTAAAAGCCATTACACTGGGCTCTTAAGAAAAAATAAGCCAGAAATAAATGGAATTAAGTTATAGTACTTTGGAGCAAAGCTGTTGAATTTTTCATTAATTAGCAGTCTCACTATGTGTAAAGAATTAATAAATTTGGAAAATACAGGATATTTTTATTTAGACCATTTAGCAAAAATTTAGTATTCTAAATTTAAAAAAATCAACGCATTGACAGAAAGTTTTCAAACAAAACAAACACTATTTCTTTTCCTAAAAATATGTAGAGATCACTATATAATAAATTTAACATAAACCTAATCATTCAGGGTCTGTTTCATGTATAGCACATATATGTGGTTTTACCCTTTAACTTTTAGGCAAGTCACCTAGAAGTCTGTGAGAGCAGCAAGCTAAAATGTCATCATCTACTACCAAAACCTCACAAGCAACTCTGCAAAGTTTGGACTCTTCCTTGTTATATTACTTACCGAGAACCAAGTGAACAATAGCTCGCAACAGCATCATTTGAAAACAAATCTTGGCTGACAAATGGTAGGGAAAACAAGAAGACAACAAACCAATGCCTTCACAAACAGCTAAACCCACTGAATACATTCATCTCTTGTCTTTTTTTTTTTTCATCTGCAGATCTGTTTTGGTAGTTCAAGAATTACTAAAACTTTTAGGACAAAGTACCCGATCTGCTTGGAAACTGAACTGATGTTAAAATATTGTTAACATCTTCAAGTAAACTAAAGCACATACAGAATTACAAAAGCCACCCAAGATTTATCTCTAGTATTTCATTAATGGCACCACTGTGACTTTAAGAAAGAAAGGAAAAAGGACAAATCTTGCCAGCTGGAAATATTACCTCCATGGACAAGCTATAGATACTGTAATCAAAACCTTTGCCAATACCCAGACTTATTTCAGAGTTCTGTGAGGAGTATAAAATGATAGACACAGGCCTACTGAAATCTTTTAGAACATCGTGATGACTGTTACAAACTAGAATATACTTTAAGTATTGTTAAATCATGCCAGAAACAACTGGCATAAGATAATGCATTGCAATAATAAGGCATTTACTGCATTTAGCATACAACATTATCTGGACCAGGAGTGGACTCAACAGTAAAAATGCAAAGTGGAAATGGATCACCACATGCTAAGCGTGGAGTGAGGGTTCAATTAGTTGAGGGTTGGTTTTGTTGTGGCTTTTTTTCTCTCCTCAGAACAATATCACACAAAGATCCAATTACTTATTCTGGATTAGTCTATTACCACCTTGGTAACAGAATTGGTAATCACCACCATCACCTTTCCAAATTTGTGATTACAGCTTTGTCCAAGGTCTCCATTGCAAGAGGGAGGCTGCACAATGACATGGAGGCAGAAAACATAGAGAAACAGACTTCATTCTAGGAAGAATCATACACGTTACTCCAAAACAAGACTACTGATTTTTCACAGGAAATAAAATACTTATAATTACATATCACCTCACCTCCATGATTATTTTGTACTCACCACTAGTTCTGAACTTGTCTGAAAAGTTTCAATGTAAATGGAATAATGCTGGTTGTTCATCTGGTTTAAGATCGCTGTCATGCATGCCACAAAATGACTCTGAAAGAAAACCAGACAGACATCCAGGGTATTGCTCTAGATACTGGACTGTATTCTTTCTAAAGCTGTAAATATCAAATAAAACCTTTAATAGATGTAAAAATAAAGTAATATTCAAACTTTGCAAGCCCAGATGAAAGAAACATACTAAGAACTTGGAAAGGATAATTCAAAACCTGCCCTGGCAAGGGGTAAGGGCTGGTGAGAAAGGTGCATCACTTAGGAAACACTGCATGGAAACACACATTGTGGCAAGAAAACAATATAAATATAAACTACAACTCAGTATTACCTTAAGACTCCTAAAAGGCGTGTGATGTTGCCCAGGATTCTTCCAAGGGCAGTTCATAAGAAGAAAATATATTAGCATCAAAATTTCCTAATCATGCTACAAACTTAGGTTATTCACATGAAGAAATATTGCAAGAAGACATATTTTTTACATTCTCAGGTGTTTAAGTAGCTACACAGAACTCTAAAACTTTCATAGAATACTCTTGCATTCTTCTCAAAACTTTTCAAACTTCCTCAAAAGGAAATATTTTTACCAAATCCTAAAGCACAAATGCTGAAAGATGCAGATTTATTTGTAATGCCAGGTTTTCACTGTAATTTACTGAAAGTCACAAAAACGTTTCTTCTCAAGCAGTAATAGAGAGCTTCATGATTTGCAGTTTTCCTTTAAGACAGTGAAGAATCCTCCTTATTGATGAATTATGATTTGCTGAAGTTTTAATTGTTGTTTTAAAAGTGAACCTGCTTTAAGCATTTTTATTAAAATAAGAGACTATGACGTAGAAGAGCATGCAAAGTAATTTTCTAGATTTACTTGAATCTTTTCATCTGGTTTAAAACTGATAAAAGGGACTCCTGTGCTGCTCTGACCAGAATTTAATTGCCACCTGCTCCGATTCCCTGTTTAACTCTGATGTAACCTCACCCGTCTGTTACACCGAAAGGCAACAAAGGCACACACTACCAAAGTACCAGCTGCAGTTTGTCGTACCCAACCATTTTGTCTACCACTTCGAGAAGGGAAACCTCCCTCAACTTCAGGTTATGGCCACTAGAGGTCTTGTACTTTCGTATGTTCGCTGCTGTTCAGTTTGCGCTGCCTTTTTTTTTTTATTTATTTATCCCTACGTGAGCAGACCCAGCACACTTCTTACGTATAAACCCTGAAAATTACAATATAAAGGACCTATTATACCTTCTTTTGGAGTAACATTAGTGCTAGTGAAAGCCTTGCCTACTTTTTAAGGCTAAGAAGACACATTTTCTGCAGGTTAACCCAAAGCTTTCAGGTAAGCAATCGTCTGTTCTCGGGTGCTGATGCTCTTCTAAAAAGAGATGCTGGTTTTCGTGCTGTAGTAGTTCACTTTTACAGCTGTGGATCAGACAAACCTCTTGTGTGATGTTAAATGTATAGCTGAAAGTAATAATGAATTGCAAATGATTCAGTAATGAAATTGTGTGGGTTTTTTTCTTCTGATGTCTTGATTTTGGAAAAAAATTACTGACAGAAGTTAGAGAATTGTACATGAGAAACAGCATGTATTTATAGTAGTTAAACATTTGCCACAATGTCTTTCTATACTCATGTTAAATAGCTACTTCTTGAAATAAGCAGCATTTCTTCACGAGCATCGAATTGATGTATTATGTTGCTTAAAGGCATAGAGACTTTAAGAAGGTTGCTTCTGTTGTTGAAACCAACTTCTAAAATGTGTCCAGCTATATCTGTGATTATGGTACAGCATGAATGCCTATTCTTAGTAACTGTGACTGTGTATGGTGATTTTAAAATTAACAGATGATATATCTTCATTACTGAAGAGAGCCATAAGCAACGATCACTTATTGCTGGGCATTACCTTGCACCAAACCTGTCAAATCCACTTCAATGGGACTGAATGATACATAAAAAAGGTGACAGTAAAGCTGGTTTGCTACAAAAACTTCCTCCATCATTTCAGTGCAACTGTACAGCAGGAAAATACACGTTTTGATCTTTAATAATTTTCTTGCCAGCAATCTTAAACTATTAGAAATTAACTGCTAGCTTCTTTATAGGTTAAAAGCTTGCTCCTCCCTCCTAAACCCCAAACGCCAGCAATAAAGACTCGTTTCTCAGATGCAGCCTCCAATCTCTGAAGTACTCGTGCACTCACAGCATCACCATTCTCACTGGTAGAACTTACGCGTAATATAGGACTACAAAGAGCTGTGATCAAATCTGCAAATATCACTAAGTATTCACTTAAATTCTCCTACGCTGTTTAAGTACCTCTTACTAGAATGTGCAAAGAGCATAAACTGCTTGAAAATATAGTAAGTTCTGCACAAGAACGATCTATTACACTCTGAATGCAGACTGCATGCTCACTAGATGGACAGAAGAAATTCAGAATCAAGCACCGCCCACTAACAAATAGTCTAATGGTTATGATTCAAGAATATATTTGATTGAGTCAAGCATTCTATGTAGGGATTGAACAGTATAAAAAAAGGTTGTGGCAGAGGTGGTGAAGTTCTTCACAGAATCCTAACAAGTCCTTTCAGCTGCATGTAAGACTTGTTAGAATTTATCCTATGAATTACAGCAGAAAATGTTGATTAGAACTAGGTCAAATGTATAAAGAACAAACATATCACTTGACAGATGAGAATATACTAACAGAAAAATTAATAGAAATAACTCTGAATACGCTGTGCTACTCTGAAGAGATCTAATAAAATGTATGCTTTCCAACTTACACAACACTCAGGTCCATTAAATGTAAAAGAACCCAGAACAGAAACAACACTGAACTCTAATTTTTTATTTAACCAACTGCCTGACAGCCTTTCAAGAAATGGGTAAAGAAATGAGGAAAATGATGTATGTACACTGCACTTCTATGCGGAGAGGGAACAGGAGTAAATAGGGAGTCAGAGGAGAAAATGTCTCAGGAAACATTCAAACTCCGTGTCCACTTAAAAAAAGCATAATTAGTAGCAAACTTAAACGAGCTGTAATGCTGTCTGGCTTTAGTATAAACACTGCAAAATAGTGGCTAAGATAAAAGAAATTCTGCTTTGGCTGAGTCCATAGAAAGTACATCAAAAGGGATCAGAGATGTATCCTGCAAAACAAATCGGGCTTTCTAAGGTCAAGGGGCAAGAACTCGGACTCTTTTCCACCCTTGTTAAAAGTGCATATTAGCTGTGGCTGCAACATGTACAGGAAAAGAAACATCAGAAAGAACATTAGGGTCATATGAGTAAGACGACAAACTTCAACACCTAGCAACTAAACCCCAGCATACTTTATAATAGCAGATGGTGACAGGTTGCCGTAGTAACTTCAAATAATACTAGCTCCGCAAGAATAAATAAAGCAAGTGCACTGGAAAAACAAACAGCAACAGAAATATCACAGAACGAAGCTACACTTTCAGTCTAATCTAGCAGACGTATTTCAGTGGCTGTAGGGTGAGTAATCTCCATGCAGGTGTACTTCTGGAAGGACTAAGGAGGGTATTTATTTCATGCAGACACTTAAGTAACATTCATCCTCATTAACAGAACACTTGAACAACATAAAGCCCGAGTGTAAATATATAACCACATGTACATCTTTAAAAAGCAAACAAAACAGAGACATGAATGATTTCTAATAATTCAAAGACTTCTGAAGGACACAGATGATTTAATTCTTTTTATATCCCCTTTTTAGCTGAATACTGGATGATTTTACTTCCCCATATAATTAATGTAAGGTAAGAGGACTCCTTTACATACCACCCTCCTCACAGTCTGTAACCTTATATTCACTAATGATGGTTTATATTTGATTATAAGACAGCTGTCTGTACTGGACAGAGAGTCTTATCCAGAAGATCCAACATTCCTGTGGTGTATGAAGCAACCATACTACATAGATTAATTTCTCAACTCCATTCACATTAAAGCAGAAGTTTCAAAACTTAGTATGTTAGTGACAGTAACTGTAAAAATGGTGCACATCGAAAGGTTGACCAAGAATTTCTACAGGCCAAGCAATTCTCTTGGGTTTTGGTGTTGGTGGTTTTTGTTTTGTTTTGGGGTTTTTTTTGAGAAAAAAGTGCAAAAATCTTTCTGGCGGAAAAGGGATAAATGTTATCTTTAACGTAATTACAGAGAAGTTAACTAAGCAACTGTTTCAATCTAATATTAAAAATCATCAATATTCATGTTGTAGCACAAGTACATAACTGAGAAGACCTCCCACTATACTGTTTTCACAGAATTATTGAGTCATCGCACATGTTTAGTGTCATGAGCTAAAGAGAACATAATTCCCAGAAAAAGTACAGGAGATGCTCAGTGATGCCATGAAAAAGCACAACAGTGTGAAATCAGGGTTCCTCAGAAAAACACACTAAGCCTTGAGTACTGTGGCATATGTAGAGAGTAGCAGAAGCATCTTTCTCATATTACGCAAACACTAAACAGCAACACTCTGAAATGAAAAAAAACAAGCAGAATTTGTTGAAGCGACCTGCTAATGTAGCTCTGTTTCTTGTCCAGAAATAGATGTTACTGCCGATGCACATGCTGTCCTAAACTGTACTGTTTCTCGCTGGAAAAGCTCAAAAACATTACAACAGGCTGCTGTGCAACAATGTAGAGTGCCCATCAGTTGCAGAGCGTACGTTGGAAATGGGACATGGCTCCAAATCCGAATACACAGACTTCTTGTAGCTTGTCAACGAGTGCACCTCACTAATAATTAATTTACAAGAACAGATTCATCTACTCCTAGTGTGTCTGAGGTTTTAATTTTCCATTCAGAGATTCACAGAGTTCATAGGTTCTGCCTTCTTGTCTCTTACAGCTGACTGAACAGAAGCTTAGGCATTCTGTTTCTGCATCTTACTGACAGCCTTTGATTTCTGACTGAAAACACGCTGGGCTGTTTCAGCTTGTTCTGCTGCTTTCTTTACATTCATATAATTTAGCCAAAAGGATATACAACT